TTTGTTTTTGTGCGCTAATTTTATGTTAGTTTTAGTATCGATATTCTGGTTGACCACCACCACCACCTTGAGGCGGCTGTTGTGAATAAGACTGTGATGAATATGCTTCTTGATGAGCTCTCGATTGACGTTGTGGTGCCGCATTACGACCACCACCGCCTCCACGCGAACGTTGTTGGGCCAGCAAGACACGTCGAATACCTTCATGGACGGGTTTCAAAGACGCCAAGTTGGGAGACGAAATCTTGATGGGATTGCGGGCCACTGGCAAAACGACAATGTACTTCCATGGGTGAAGCTTGTTCTTGTACTTGACCATTTGCGGACCCTGCCAGTCGTTTTGGACGCGGGCTCCTTGGAGTGAGAATTGCTTGACCTTGACGGAAACTGGACGACGGGCTTGTGTCTCAATGACGGCAATATCATATTCGGACTTGGAGCGGTACATGTTCATCATCCATGGTTGGGCAATGATTCCTCCAATGACAACATACTTTGGTTTCCAGTCCTTGGCACTGTTTGGAGCATTGGTATCGCGAGTATCGTACTTGACCATGTGTTCTCCTTCGGCCACCACGACATCCGTGTTAGGTACATAGAACAATAGTGGCAACGGTCTTGGTCCTTCCTTGATGAGTCTGGAAGCATCCTTGGGGTTTCTGACATCGACACCATTCACCTTGAGAAGGACATGTCCCAATTCCACGCCTGCCGATCGAGCGGACGAACCTTCCACGATGAAGGCAACGACTGGGCGGTCACCCAATCCATCGACCAAAGATCGGTCCGTATTTAGAAAGAGAGAATCCGTGAGTTCTTGTGGCTTGAAGAACATGACTCCCAGGGTAGGTGTGAAAATTCTTGCATCATAAAATTCTCCACCAGGTGGCAAATCTCCCTTGTGGGAAGGATTGTCATTGGTAGTAGGACCAGGTGCTTCTTGGGCTGGTTGTCCGTTGGGTGGTCCGCTGAATCCCATTTCGGCGAAAAAGTCGTCGCCTCCTGGAGCAGCGGGTGGAGGGGCTTGCTGTTGTTGTTGCTGCTGCTGCTGCTGTTGATATTGCGGTGGTGGTGCAGGAACCATTTGGTTTTGAACGGGAGCAGCCGGTGGTGGTGCTGGAGCAGCGTTAAAGACCGAGAATGGATCGACTTGTTGAGGTGGTGGGGCTCCATACCCTCCTTGTTGAGGTGGCGGAGCACCGTATGGAACTGGAGCACCAAATGGATCGCCACCAGGCGGAGGACCTTGTTGTTGCTGTTGTTGTTGCTGCTGAGGTGGTGGAGCACCGTATGGAGATGGAGCGCCAAATGGATCACCGCCCGGTGGCGGAGCACCGTAAGGGGATGGAGCACCAAATGGATCGCCACCTTGTTGCTGTGGTGGAAGAGCTTGAGCATAGGGGTTGCTTTGCGTTTGAGAAACGACCAAGGCTCCACCAAATGGATCGGCGGCAACAGCAGGAGGTGCTGGAGCACCGTACGAAGCAAATGGATCAGCAGCAGATGGTGGTGGAGCTCCATATGGTTGTCCCGGTGGTGGAGCGCCCATGTATCCTTGCTGTTGTCCTGGAGTGCCAGGAGGAGGAGCCCCCATGTATCCTTGCTGTTGTCCTGGGGTAGGAGGAGCACCAGGTGGAGCCATAAAAGGTTGAGGAGCACCGCCTGGAGTAGGTGGAGCGCCCATGTACCCTTGTTGCTGTCCAGGAGTAGGTGGGGCTCCTGGTGGCGCCATGAATGGTGGTGGAACGCCTCCTGGAGTTGGTGGAGCACCGGGAGCAGGAGCCTGCATAAAGTTTTGCCCTTGGCCGGGTGTGGGTGGAGCTTGCTGCATGTAATTAGGAGCTCCACCAGGAGTCGGAGGAGCCTGCATGCTGGGTGCTGGAGCTCCAAAACCAGAGAATGGATCCGCTGCTGGAGCAGGTGCTTGTCCTGGTCGTTGAGGAGTTGGAGGAGCTCCTCCCATCATACCGCCATATGGGTTTCCTCCAGCAGGTGGTTGACCCATTGGAGCTCCTCCCATGGCCCCCATTCCTCCCATTCCTCCGTACATTTGTTGTTGTTGCGGCGGTTGTCCGTATCCTCCATTCATGCTCATGCCAGAATTCATGACAGGCTTATCGGATGGCGCTGGAGCCGGAGCTGGTGGATTCACATATCCAAAAGGATTGTCGGCACCTGGAGCTGGAGCACCGGGTGGGAGTGCGGCTTGCACATCCACGGCGAATTGATCAAAGGGATTGGACATCTTCTGTATTCGTATAGGATATTTTCGCTGGCTATTTCAATGTGAAAAAAACTAGATTCTCGGTCGGCTTTTCAATTGTTTTCAAAGTCAAAAACAATGCCAAGTCGTGCAAAGATGAGAGAGACGGTTTGTCGTATTCCTTATTGATCAAAAGCGATATGGTCACTAGATGGAAAGAGATGCTGTTTCTC